GTTCGTATAATTAAGCTTCAACATTCTGAAGCTTTTCTCATATTTGTTCATTAATAAGTAGTCTGATGACCACCCAGTATACACCTCGGCCAGAAGCCTGCAACAAGATGAAGTCCGATTGCACTCCCGCGCACTCTGCATGACCATTACAACTACTGTTAAGCGGCAGCTGTTCGGATTCGTGTTTTTAGCCCGTAGTTGCGCGGATGATGAACAGATAGAGAAGATATTTAAGAAGATTTATGAGCTCCCGGTAAGACCCTGAGGTGTTCTCCGGCCGACCTGGACCGAAACGAATGTCACCAAGTTCTTTTGGTTTTTGGTAAGCCTCTATTGGTCCGTACAATTGCCTTCTTGATTGTGTTGTCTTGGTTTGAAATACTTTTTTGTCGTGTGAATACAAGTTGTGAAATTGAGGACTGAAGTTTGCCGGTTTCTTTTCTCCAGGGATGGTTTTTTGAAAGTTTGATAGTGGAGGGGGTTGGGTGAAAGTGTTGAAATATTACAGACGTTGTGAGATGATCTTTTCTCTTATTATTATACGGGAAATTTTGTATATTTCTTCTGTAATTTAAATTTTTATATCTCACTGGAGAATACTGCATTTTTCAGTATATTTTTCTTCTTTTATTCCAACGTTTTACTATATCTTTCCGCCTCCATTGTTCATATATTCGTATTCTATATTCTATATTTTTCATATTCCAATATGTTCGATAAAAATACATTTCTAATTTACATTACGTTTCATTTCTCATCACATCCCCTGTTATCGATACATATGCTGCGTCCATTCTATTATTTCGACAGAAAGACCTACGAGTATAGATAAATCAACGAGTAGTATATTCAAACAATAATTATTACTTGAAATAAACAAATTTCTGGTGAAAGAAAATATAAAATTCTCAAAGAAGGATAAACATATTTCAGTAGCAACGAATGTATTAATTACAACGCGTCAAGTGTTACTAATTCAGTAATTCAATTGTCTAACTCATCTTATCACCATCCCCTACGGATATCATTAGTTAAACAAGTTCGAAACACGGCAAGAAGTTACGTAAAGCGTATTACATTCGACAAATTGCATAATGTACCTATGCGAAGGTAGGAAGGTCGGAGGAAACGGAGACACATCAAAGGTAGCTGGTTCTCCCTTTGTGAAACAGATCGGTCGCGGTTGGACGAGTCTTGGCCGCGTAATATAAGCCACGCGAGGACTCCTTCGTCGCTTTGGTGCTTCTCTCATTATCCCAGCGAGGGAGATCGTCCGAGTGAGGCCTTAAATCAACGTCCCTGCGACAATTAACTCGCTCGTGTGAGTGAATAGGGGTGGTATAGCTAGCTCGAAGCGAGCGACCGAGTGAATCACGTGTACACCACCTGCCGGAGCGTGACCTCTTAATGTGCATGCCGAGAGATGAGGCCCTATGAACATTGGCGTAGACATCGACTCGATTTTTTCGACTTCTATCAACTTGCGAACATCAAATTTATTCCGATCGATAATTGCATCGAATTTCTATTTTATATTCTTTAATATACTTTTTACATTTTCATTGGAATGTTTCTATCGGATCTTCCTATATTGAAATTCTATCAGATTCAATTGGTAAATATGACGTACTTCTAATTTTATTTATTGTGAACTTTCCGAAATTTACTAAGTGACGAAAAGTTTCTTGTTGAATACCCTAAAGAGTTGTGAAAGATACTAAAAGTGGCCCATTACCGGAAAATAAGGACAAATTTCTTAAAAAATGTTCATAAAGTAAAATCACTCTTGCGATACTGCAATACTGTATAAAGCAAAATGTCATTGAATGAAATGGTAATTAAACAAAATGTTAGTTCTGAAAATTTTCTCAAATTTCGCAATCTTTCTAAACACAATCTAATATACTTAATTCAAAAAATAAATTACGATCCGAAAAATGTTCTTGTCTATATTACAAAGGCTCATTCTCTAACTTCCATCCTTATCGTTATATTGTAGAAACTAAATCCCTTTAGAAATAACTGAAATCATCGACCTGAGAAAATTCTCGACTCATCCACCTTACAAAACAGAAGTCATTTATCCTTCACACCATTCAGCTTTTTCATTTTATCATTTAAAACTGATACTGATTTTGCCTCACTCAACATGTTCTTCGCATCAGTTCATTTCCTCTTCAAGCCAGCAAGAAGAAGCAAGGTAATGGAGAAGAAATACAAGCATCAGAGATATTCCTTTCTTCTCGCAGTCGACACTAAGCTTCTCTTCCAACCTTTAGTTTCTGCCTTCAGTCCGATGGCCGAATGTAATAGTTGGCTTGCGATTTATTATCCATTAATATAAAATTCAAGGGTGCAGAAGTATATACAAAAGAATGCACATAGTACGTGAAGATACATAGAGTATACAAAATGTGCTACTTCTTATAATATTCGTAGATTGAAATTTGTAACTTTTATGGGAAGATGAAGATATAAAAATAAACAGATTGCGCATAATGTGCAAAAAAGTATAAAATATCCAATGTAGGATGTACGTTATAATTAGACAGTGAATTTTTATGCAAATTCATATTTTTGAGAATATTTATAACTGACAAAAGAACAGACAAGGTATAAAAATTGTTTTACATATCAAATATTAATAGAAAGTTTATTTATTAAATAGTTTATATTTTGCTTAATATTATGTATAATCTATGCAATTTTTCACTTTAAAGTTCCCTATAAATGCATACAAATCTGCAATCTTTTGCTGAGGTTCCAATTTTTTAGTTATGATGAAAATTTGCATCTGCGTAAATGTCGCCAGTCTATTTTTTGGAATTCTGTACTTATATTCCTCTTTTTCTAATATTTTATTGGTAGAAACATGATTTTGTAGAAATATCCGCAGTCTAGTAATAATCAAAACAGACGTTGGACGTCTCTCATAATATCCAGACCAACACGAAGGCGATGCTCGGAGTCTGGGTCTGGGAAAATGACTGGATAATCGGCGTACTACTATAAGCTCCCTTCGACGCATCGAGCAGCCTCTCTATCTCGAACGCGGTCTGGGTCATGGGTCGTCGCTATAAACCCACCGATGTTATTGCAGGTGTGCGAATCGCATAAGGATCAGAGCAACGTGACGCGCCGCGGCAAACTCGTTTGCGGGAAACGCATAAAATTATAACTTACGCTACATTGACTCACAAAGCGGCTGCAAATTATTCTCTCCTTCTCCTATACTGCTAGCCTAGCGACGCCCGCGACTCCATGATTTTATGCAGCCCTGAATATGCTCTCTCTGTCTCTCTCTCTCTCTCGGCGCCTAGTGCTACAACGTTTTGCTACGTTGCAGTCGAGAGTCAAGGAAGAAACGGGGATCGAGACTTGCATGAGTTATGGAGAAACGTTTCGCGAGATTTATCGAGCGTTCGAGGATATTTCCCGAGAGGAATAGGAGAATCGCGGTCGAGAAGGTTCAAAGTTTGAAATTTTGCCGAGAGTAATGGAGAGAGGTTGACGACGGACTCTTGAGGAGAAGGTGAGTTGTAAAGCGATCACTGGGTGTATCACAGTTTTCAAAGATGTTAACGTCTTTCGTTAGAAACCAAGTTTTGTAGAGTTTCTGTGAATCATTTCATATTGAATGCTTTAGAGCTTGAAATTTTGATGAAGGAATGGAGTGGTGCCTTTTGACGAAATTCCTGAGGCGGGGGGTGAGTTGTAAAATGATCAATGGGTGCATCAAAGTTTCTGAGTTAGGATATTACTGTCTTTTGTTAGGAGTCAAGTTCCATAGGATTCTATACATCATCTCATGTTAAATACTTCAAAAGTTGAAATTTTATTGGTGGAAAATGGTGGAGTAGAAGATAACTTCTAAAGTGATCGACATATTCGAGCCTCTAAGCTAAGATATTAGTGTTTTTTCTTACAAATCAAGTTCCATGGAGTTTCTATGAATCAATTTAAATCGAATACTTTGAAGTTTGAAAATCTATTGATGTGGAAATGATGAAATGATATTTGGAGACAGAATTGCTGAAACGATTCAGTATATTCACGTTTCTAAAAGAATAAGATACATCTGTTTGATCATGTATTTGATCATGTACATATTTAGATACATGTATCTAAATCATTTCTACGTTATTTTCTGTTCCACATGTTTAAAAGTTTGAAGCTTCTAGCTATAACTAAAATATATCTAAGCTAAAATATATCTGGAAGAAATATACGCGTCTATGCTTTAATATACGCATCATTTTTTCAAGTAAAATAAGACAGTTCATTCGCTTGTGTGTTTACACCCTGTACTCTAGTAATATTAATACACTCGAATGCGCAATACAATAGTGTTACATATCTTCTACATGAGATAATACTGTTATTTTATCGAATGACAACTTCATGCATTTTAACGACATCGTAATGCATCAACTCTATGTCTATTCGGTGCCTACTCGATGCAACGTCTACTCAAACTTAAAACATGAAATACTTTCCAGGAAAAAATACAAATTTTATTTTCACATGAAACCTACTTTCGCAAGCTAAAACATTCTCTAAATAACGTTTCATAAAAGCATTCAAAATATCCAATCATTTCCAATTTCTCTTGAACAATCTCCTCATCAGAAACAAAACTTCCTTATCTTCCCAAACCACAATGTGTCCCCGGTAATTGGACACGAACAGCGTCGACTTTGATTCCCAAACACCTTATCAGTAACAAGTATCTTCTCCATACCCATCAAGGTCTATCTCTCGATCATCGATCACCGTATACATAGCCAACCCTCCATTGATCTCGGTCTTTACAGAAGTAGTACGTAAGGGGTTAGCCAAATAACACTCATAACTCGGGCATTGCGAGCGATAGAAACGCGATCGAGGATATATAGTGTTGAAATATACACAGTGGCAACGGCTCGAGCTGTAATTATACAGTAAAAAGCTATAATTATAGCTTGACTGACTTATAGCTTTTACTATACGGAGTGATATGATGTGGCAGGTCGTTGAATTTCTCTCAACATCCGCTATCATACGATGAATAAAAAAATATAGGGTTCGATTTAACAAAGTTAACTTGAGATCCCCTTCTAAATACAAATTACTTATACCACATAATGTCCGACTTTATGTCATACAACTTTTGCAAGAACATGTTTTTGATAGCTTCAATCCCTCAAGAGATATTCCACTGTTGCCGTTTAAACGTAACACACCATATGTTTTACGTTACTGTAACACTAAATATTCTTCTCTACTGTAACAATGAAGGTTACTTAACATTTACATTCATTCGTGTTAGTGTTCTCTGTAACCAAACTTCTTCGAAAGACGTCGTCGGTGTGCACAAGTCCGAGGTATCTGTTCAAAGGCTCATCCGTCATCAGTCGTCCAATCACGACGGTCTAGCGTAATGTACCTCGGCGAGTGCCATCGGCGTAATCATTTACTCCCCTTCTTTGATTAATGACGAGTACGGCGTGCGTCTTGACGAGTTGAAACGCAACACCGGCAACTCCTGGACGTGGCGAGATCGTCGCTTTTTGTAGCTCCTCGTCAGTACGCTCGAGAGCCTGATGGACGTGTTCACATGGACAAAGGCGAGGACCGACATCGTTTCGACAGTGCCCCGTGTTCGTTTAGTCCGCGACTAGTCGTACGTCTTTCGGTTACATACAGACATACATAGGCGGTTGGACTGAGATGACAACGCGCGTCGTGTACGAGTACGAAGGTTAATGGACACAGAATGCCGATCGATCATCCGACCACTGGTATAGGATATATTATGTTTAGGGGATTGAAATAGGAGAGATGGGTCGATAATGGGGATTCTGTGTGGAGTATATTGTTGGATTACTGCGAATATTTATGAATATTTCTATTTTTATAAATTCAGGGAAACGGAGTTTAATTGTAAGTAGAAATTTCTTTCATCCATATAATAAATCCATAATATAATAAATATAATAAATATAAAACCATAGTATAATGAATCAAGGATTGAAAAAGATCCGAAAATAACTGTTTCAAACTGTTATATATCGGGTTTGACCTAATATTGATTACGGTTGCGGTTCTAATGTCGATTCTGATATCGATTTCATTTCGGTTCTATATTCTATCCATACTATTCACCAGTAATGTTAAAGAAAGGAAGACACAGCACAAACAATTTTAATGATAGTGGTAAGTAAAGTTGTAAAAAAGCGAAATTAGATTATCCATAGTGGACGCATGCGTCAAATCAATGATAGTGCGTGATAAGCCGCACTATTTAATAGATAATGACACGTTTAGAGATATAGTTAAAATGATAAGTTTGTAAAAAGAAAAAGTAAATACACTTAAACTTATTAAATAAATATTATATTGCATTGGATATTTTGTATATTTTTGCATATTATGTATGTGCAATTTTGCAATTTTAAATTTTCTATAAATGTTTATGAGAATTTGTCGGGAGACAAACAGTTTATATAATTGAAGTTCATATGATAGGAGCTCGCCAATTTTCCTCGTTACCTATTATATTTTCTTTCTCAGTCTTCCTTTATTCTTCAATAATCAGTCAGCACGTGTGGCAGAATCTCAGGAATTTAAAAGTTCCCTAATAGTGAAGTTAATGTTAAGAAGTTTAAATATTGGAAACAACAGATGTAAAATAATAAAGTAAAACGTTGGAAGAGGTAAAAATTTGAAATGCCCGGTTCAGAAAATAAGAAAATAACAGGGTTAGGAAGTTGAAGAAAAAAAGTGTGAGAAAATTAAGAAATGAAAGTATAAATAATTAAGCAGCTAAAAATTGAATTGAATCATTTTAATCAACTTATTTTTTCATTTTTTACTATCACATTTAATAATATGGCTATCGAGATCATAGCATTTTGATTCTTACCAAATGACAAATTAAATGTTACTTACTACTATTAAAAAACGATCCCTTAAACAATACAGCATTGCTGCTGTTTCAAAAAAAGTTGACGTAAAACTCTTTTATCCTCTCCTCCAGCATCGATATCAAGGTACCACAATTACAGACCGGCTGTACAAGAAATGGTTCTTACAAGCACCGAGGAAGTCCGTCACGTCCGATTCGTCACGGTCCACGTCAATTCTGTCGATCGATTTCCCAAAAAGTTCCGATATCCGAATTACCTACACCGATGTTGCCGACGGGTAAAAAGTGGAACTGCAAGAAGACGACACAAGAAAGGAAGAACAAGCATGTAATATATGTATACATTCACTCACAAAAGTATTCGGGCACTTATGGAAATCTTTTACGAACTGTTCTAAAATTTCTAATTCTAAAATTTCACGATAATTAAATAACATATTTCCAGTTTCTCGATTTTTGATCGTGTTTTTATTAATACGTTAGGTCTTGTTTCGACATCTCGTGAACACTCCAGTTTACTTCTTCGGGACAGATACGAAAACTACATATTATAGGAAACATTTTGAAATTTCACTAGTACTGTAACGGAATACAACTATTACGATTGTATTGGTCAAGTTTGATACAAATCTGAAAGTGTATATAGAAACTACAAGATATTTAGCGTAAGTATATATTTCGCAAAAATCATAAAAGTATTTAAATAGTCAATTACCCATTACGTTGGTAAGCCTAAATATTCTATGAGACCATCTTTAACGCTTATTTATACTAATTTGTTACTAAATATAAGTTTGCAGTAAATATGTCATAGCTTCTATATACGTAAAAGTTTTCTATGGTAAATGTTGTGATAACATATTTATCGTCCTTCGAGTTTCCATCGTGTTTCTAATACTGTTCGTGCTTTCAGTAGTATTCATTTCTTCAGAGCACCACAAATATGTCATCTAATGATCGTAAAAATTTAATACGCAAAAAGTATTCAGATCCCGCCGTCAGCCAGTATAAGTATGTAAGTACATGGCAGATCTTTATGTAACGGAGCACGAGATCTGAACGCGTGTCAGCTCCGCATCCGGGCGTGCTGCGTGCATTTGCCCACCTGCTCGTTGGGCCGTGACCTCTTCTTATTCGGGTGAAGGGAAGGAAACGCCGACGAAGTAAGAAGAAGCGGAGGTGGCTAAAGAAAAAGAACGGACGAGTGTCTCTCGCTGATTGACGAGCGCCAGAGTCTCCGAGAGTCGAAGCAATAAAGCACGTGCGCGCATAAACGCGCGAGAAAAGGATCTCTGGTGCATCGAACACCTGCCTCTCCTCTTCGTAGCGTTCGTCGAGATTGGTGGTCATACGTATACAACATGTCTACTGACAAGTCTATGACTCGTTTCATGAGGAAATTAATTACTTCAGCGAGAATAAGCTTGTAAATGGGCGATCGAATGACGAGGTCGATGAAAGATTATTAACGCTCTTAAGGAAAAAGATTGTAACTTGCCTGAAAATGTTCCGTGTAATGTCTTATAGAGTTGTTGAAGATCTAAAGTACTAGGTCTGTTCTTATGTATGTATATATATACGACTATGACTTGTTTGAAAAGGGAATTAATTACTTCAACGAGAATTAGCTGGGAAATGGATGATTGTGAAAGTTTATTAACATTCTGGAAAAAAATCGTAAATTGCCCTGAAGCGTTTGCTGGAGTTTTTTTATAAAGTTGTTGAAAGTTTAAAGTATTGAATGTCACGGAACAAAAAAGGATTTTTGTGTGAAAAGTATACTGTCCTCTTTAGTTGAAATGTCCCACCTACCATTTCGATATTCAGGAAAATTAAAGTTTTATGAAAAGGCCAGCATAAAAACCAAGATTGAGTTTTCTGGTATTCGTGTCTCTACCATTCCTTGATAAAAAAATTGGAATTCAATTTCCATCATCTCAGAGAATTTTTCTTATTATACTTATATCTTATTTACATGTATATACCTCTTAATTTATAGCGACGGTTTAGAGGGATAAAGTGTTATTAAGGCTGTTGATATCGAATCATATTTTTACTGATTGAAAAGAAATTTAATTTCCATCACCCTGAAAAGCTTCAATTAACCCAGTTCATTAACTTTCACTCGTCGGATAAAACTGCCTCTCTTTTCTTTAAGCAAATGTTTATTATTCGATAAATTCTTCCCCCTTTAATCTCAATTTATACGAAAGATTTATGCCAAAAGCGAAAGCAAAACATCCGACGAAGTAAAACATCTACCAACAAAAAATGCTATGTACTTGCAGGAGAATCAAAAATCAATCTGAATAACTTTCCATAAATAGCATTTGCAAAAAGTCCTAAAGTGATATCAAAAAGCTACGAACCACGAAAATTCTAAGACCATAATTAACTTCTTGCCTTATGACTTTTGGAATATCTACTTTGGTAAATTTTAGCTATTCGTTATTAAAACAAAATATATGAAATATTATATACAGACAACAGATGCTAATATAAAATTAAATATTTATGAATACAAACAAAAGCATATGTAGACGGTAACCAGAATCTAAATAGAGACCCGTTTCATCCTCTAAATATTTTAACGAATGATTTATTCTTGGAATTTTCTATATTTCCATTACATTATCTACATTCTGTATAATTTTGCAGATTTAACTTTCTGATAAACACACAAAGTCTGATTATACATAATTTATAATCAATGATTCTCTCTGAAGAATTAAACAGTTGAAAATCATATTGTTGTAAGTCGCATTACGAACCGATATCTTATCCTTGTTATTACAATGTAACAAATTTATTATATCTTCTCAAGTTATAAAAGCGTATTTGCGGCAGAGAAAGAATTATAACTTAATTAATTATGAAACTAAAGGGATAATATATTTCAAACTTGAAATACATGACTAAATTCAAGCTCTTAAGATCTTGATTTACACCAATATGGATTTCAATCTGCCAATTGAAGCTAGGATTAAAGGTGAGACTAAACTGCGTTGAATTAAGCCTCTAATCCATCACGAGCGTTACATAATATCTTAAGGCAAGGAGTTAACACGTGGCACGCACGATTAGGCGCGATTAAGCGCGTAAATCCATAGCCAACGAACAGCGTTCTCTAAACTGTGTATGTTATACATAAATTTGTATGTATATGAAACGTTCTTATGATTATTAATGTGTACACAGTTGTTGACTGTTACGGTGCTAATCGGTGACCCACGTTCTATTTTGTTAAATTTTTTAGGATGATTAAAGTAGAATAAATTTCACGGAGTAAAACATGTTCAGCGATGTGAATGATTTATGTTAATGATATCACAGCCAGAGAAAAAGCGCGCAAATACGATATAATATTTCGCGAAAATTAAATGTTAGGGTATGGTATATTTCAATTTACGACGGCTCCCAGAGCAAAATATATAAAATTCGCGTGACAGTCTGTATTAACGGCAAAGCGATTATCGCACGGCCCCAGTGACAATCGTAAAAGCCTGCATTAAATCGCGAGAACGCGTCGTGATTCGGCTCAATGGCGCGGGACAGAAGGAAAACGAAGAGAAGCCGCGAGAGTCACGCAATCGGACGCAGGTGCGCGCTCGATCTCAGAAACAGAGTGGGGCACGCGTAGCACGATCCACAGCGCGTGCGCGTGAAAGTCGCCACTGGTGCTCTTTCTCTCGGCTTCCACGGCTTCTTCTTGCCTTCCTGTGCAAACTACCGATCGCGAAGCGCGAACGGACGCCGATTAATTAGAATTAATGCGGCTGCCTGTCATCCCCAATATCGCCCTTTCGTCCCTACCACACTGCGCCGTGCCGCGTTTCGTCGAACAAGTGACGGGAGCAACAAATACTTTGAAAGAAGTGCTTTTAGCGTAGCGATCGGTGAGCATGATACGAGAGTCATCTGATGCATCGTGTTCTTTCATATTTCTTTCCTTTTTCTCTTTTTGATGTATTTCCTAAGAGATGTTGTAGTTGCTTCTTTGAGTTAAATGCAGGTTTATAGATTTGGGTTTGGAAGAAAATGAGATTCAGTTTGCAAATGTGGTTCTCGGAATTTATTATATAGAATTATTCATTGAGAATATATTCTCAGAATTTTTGATTAGGAATATCAATATTCTTAATGAATGACAGAACATGCAGATAGTTGATCTCGATACGATCATTTTTATTTTCATTTCACTCTTCTACTGTATCTTAGTATCTTCTAAAGCATTCCTAATTCTAGATGATGACTTTTTAAATGTTTACTAGCATCTAAAAAATATTGAGAAATTTATCTGATGATCAATTTCGTTATCGAAACATTTTATATCAAACATAAAAAGTACACCACGGATTTTTTAAGTATCTATCCTATAAAATATTATTCAGATAAAACTACAAAGAATAAATTAATCTTCGTTAAAAATGAAAGCCGCAGGAATCTTCGCGGATATACCGTCGCCCAAGATACTCGAGATAGCAGAAAAAATGTTTATTAATTGTTAAATTAATTTTTTCCAGCTTATCGGGAATCTCCAGTACCATGTTCGACGCATAGTCAGAACAGAAATAAACGACCCACCGGGATAACATCGAAATGCCACGTCCGAAACTCACAACGCAAAGGCGTGAAAATTACGCGGAAACATAAATGGTATCTCGGTTACGATATCTCGACGTTGAAATCGAGCGTAGAAAAATCAGTTTATGCTGTTGGGTTGCAAGGTCCGTGCCTGCTGAGAGTAATTTGCGGCTCGGCACGGTAATTAATGATGGCCCTTATTAAACGTCCTTCGTGTTAATGATCGCCTCGCGCGATGCATCAACTGCGGCGCTCGCATAACGTATATGGCCGTGGACAATTACAGTTTCGTTAAATTGAAATTTTGCTGCTCGTTTTCCGTCGATGCTTTAAAACGTAAACGTCGCCGCAACGAGGGGGCCGCTGCGTATTAACGACCAGCTAATTAACTTCGCCTTATTGAAACCGGTTCGTCCCGTTACCACCGCGACGCGACGCATGGAATGCCCACGGATCGGGGCTTACATATAATTATACTGAAATATTATGACCAAACGAGAGCGTTATGTCGGTACTGAATCCGGCTTGCCGCTTCTTTTTTTACAGCGACAGTCGAAACACATTGCGTTGTTAATCATCTGCTTATCGTTCTCTATAGATTCAGATACGTAACATGCAGTTAAGAACAATTGGTACATTCGAGATTTGTTTCCTGTAGGCAAGGAAATATTTGGAAAGTGAAATTTTTATGTAATCCTTAGTCGATACCTTGAATTTATAACTTTGTTTGTAACTCTTGAAACTTTAAACCTTTGACGTACAATCTTGCTTCATCTTAATCGGTCAAGAATGCATAATTTTTATTCAGCGAATTTTGTTTGGCTATATAATAATATTTTTGTCTAATATAAAATACCTGATCTATGTCTTACGTTTTTAATACAATTAGATGCGAAACACAGAATAGGAAACCAAAGAAAGCAAGTAATTTTGATGATCACAAAAACGTAATTGTTTATTAGTCCAAAAAATGTGCCAGAAATTTGCGAGCTATGCTCATTCCCTACAGACTTGGGTGTAAAGATTTAATTTATACCGTTGATCTGACCTAAATAAATCAGCTGCATCATCGTTCATAATTTAGACTTTGAAAATT